CCTTAATGTTGCGGTGTTACAGGAGTTGGTTCAGAGGGTTTCGCATTTTCGGAAGCTCGAAATTCGATTTAGGGGCTTCCTTCGGGACGCTGGCGGTGGGTCTTTATCATGCCAGCACCTCCACAATGCCGACGGCCGACGTGGTTGGGACACCGTTCTTCTGGCCGTCGGGCCACGACCACGTCAAGCAGTGGAGCTGCAGCATCCCCACCATCCCTCGGAAGCAGATCTCAGGTGAATGTCGCTGCATCCGAGGGCGCGGCCTCGCGGCACGAAGTGCGCGACCACGATCAGCAGAATGCGTGTGCTAAGGCAGAGTTCAGGCTACTGTGGCTTTACCGGCAAGAATCAACGTGCATTTCAAGTTCCATGACTTCGGGCCTGGATTAGAAAGCCGTGCTTCTCAACCCCCTAAGACCTAAGCCCGAAATCTTCAGTTTGCTGATTTGAAGGGTCTCGGAAGGATTTAGGGTTTAGGGGCGTAAGGTTTAAGGGTTTAAGGTTTAAGGGTTTAGGAACTCAAAAAGGGTTTGAAGAAAGAAGGGTTTGAGGTTAAGCTTAGAGAATCCCCTTCCCTCACCGCAAGAATTACATAGACTGATGTTAACGCTTCTAAAGATAAGTAGTCCTTTGTGTGGAGACCTTAATGATAATTATGCTTCTAAAGCATTGTTCAGTATCGGTGCTTGGTTCTTCCAAGCTCCCCAATCGGGAGCGCAACCAGGTGCATTTTCCTGCTTGCGGGGTAGAGAAATCGTCGCAGGTTCAGATCTTTGCAATGTATCGATGTTGATGGATCTTGTGCTACCAATCGCACTGCTTTTGCTGCTGCTGCTGCTGCTACGAGCGCACACGACTGCAGCCACGACGGCGATCGCGGCCGCGATCTACGATCAAGATCGCCACAACTAGCTCTACCACGTACAGTCATTGGCACTAGCACTACTACCACTACAATCACTTCCAGCGGCACTACCACCACTATCAGCACCAGCTCCAGCACCAGCACCCTGACCAGGACCAGCGCCAGCACCAGCACCAGCGCCAGCGCCAGCAGCAGTCGCAGCGCACCAGGCCCCAGTGCACCACCGCCACCACCACCACCACCACGACGACGACGATGTGGCATCGACGACAGCGACGGATGACGCTGCTCTTGTTATTCTGATTATCACTACTACTACTACTACTGCTACTACTACTACTACTACTACTACTACTACTCCTACTGCTACTCCTACTCCTACTCCTACTCCTACTGCTACTCCTACTCCTACTCCTACTCCTACTCCTACGACGACGACGACTACTACTACTACCATTATTATTACTACTACTACTACTGCTACTACTACTACTACTACTACTGCTACTGCTACTACAACTACTACTACTCGTAATACGACGACGACGGCTACTACTACGACGACTAGCACTACTACTTCTAGCCATAATATTAACAGTGCTACTCCTACTTCTCTTACGATGCCTGCTACTCTTCCTTCTCCTAAGGCTCCTACTACTCGTCCTCCGACTCCTACGCCTGCTCCTACTCCTACTTTGTTGCGATTCCTACTGTTCTTCCGCCTCCTACTCCTACTCCGACTCCTACTCCTACTCCTACCCCTGCTCCCTGCTCCGTGCTCCTGCTCCTGCTGCTGCTGCTGCTGCTACTGCTACTGCTACGGCTACTGCTACACAGACGACTAGCACAGCTATTTCTACTTTGTCGAAGTCAGTCGCAAGGTCTCAGCAAGTTCGGGTTCTTGCCGCTACACAAGTATAGAATTTGAGGTCGAGGTGCTGGTGCTGACAGAACGATGACAAGTATCTGCCCCGCTTCAGTGCACCTGCACGCACGTTTAGAGAGAAGCCGGCGCGAAGTCAAAAATATTTTTCCGAGTCGTTTCTTACATGTGCAGTGTTTGTACAAGTTCTGATCTCTCGAGGCCGTCAACCCGACAGTCGCTCTGCCCTCCGATCCCAGCAAATCCCAACCCAGTGGCTGGAAGACATGCGCCTTTTCTGCCAGAACGGTGTTCCCCAACAGCGGCAATTCCAAACCTCAAGAATGCAAAATCCCGGCTTCGTTCGCGAAGCTATGAGAGCTCAAGGTTAACATGCTCAACGATCAAGGCATATCTTGCCGCCACAGAAGCACCGAATTCGCTTTGGGCATCAATCAAGTGTGAGTGCCGACGCAGGCCTCGAGAGGGCGGGCTTGCTCATGCTGCCAGTGGCAGGCTCGGCCTCCGAGGGGACATCATCAAGCCCGAGAAGCCGCACGAACCTAGGATAATGTAGGGGCCTTAATAATTAGAATAGAGTGTGGGGCTCCTTTATAGTATAAAAGAATCAGGAACCCCAAGGAATAAGACACGTTGCGGGCATCATTCCGAGCTTCCGCTCCCAGTGTTTAGAGTCTAAGTTTAAGTTTAGATGCACAGGTCCTCCCGGTCGTCGAAGCCGCGCTTGCTTCTTGAAGATCGTTGCGCCATGGCTCTTGCGAACATAGACGCCTAAAGGTAATTACCAATCTTATTCCTAGGGGTTCCTTCTCATATTTGTACTATGTATAAAGGAGCCCCACACCCTACCCTACTCTAATTATTATAAGGCCGCTACATTATCCTAGGTCCCAGACCAGAGCTGCGAAAGTCCCAAACCTCATAGGAGGCCAAAGCGGGTTTTAGCCTATGGGGGTTTAGCAGGGATTCGGGTTCGCATAATAGGGTTCAATTAAGGAATCCCTACCCCAAGAATCTTAAGCCCCGCTTTTGGCCTCCCATCAAAACCCGGCTCGAAGTCGTATTCCCAAGTCTGTGGAAGCACTCTGCATCTTCTGTTGGACCTGCAAGCTGTACTTTAGGGTGTAGGGGTTTAGGGGTGAGGGGTGGGGTTTAGGCTGACTGTGCTTGGGAATTCAGGCAAGCATGTTGCCAGCCTTTGCACATTAAAACGGGTTTGGCTTTAGGGTTCAGGTTGTTTTTGCTCTAGAAACTTACAGCCAACGTGCAAATCCCTCGTTCAGCCCTTCTATCCAACCCCCCTGCACTCTGACGGTTTTCGGGTCGCCGGGGCTCAGGCTTCCAGCCATTCAGGGCGTGAGGATCTTGGTACTTTTTGGGAGTGAGGCCTTGTGGCCCCAGCTCCTAGCTGTTGCGTTTCATGGTATATTTGGGGTTTTGAGCGGAGGCTTGTGTAGCTGTGCATGCCACTTCGGCCCCATTGAATCTGGCTCCGAAGTTGCAGGCTCGAGTTTGGCACAAGCATGCAGGCCCAGAAACTCCAATATCCCTTAATTTCGCCATATACCTTTTATCATACGCGGGATCCTATCATACTTCACGGTATGTTCCTAATTAAGGGATATAGTAATATAGGAGTCCCTGGGGGGAAATTCGAGGTGCGCGGGGAAGCCCGAAACCCGAAACAAGAACTCGAGAAGTTGCTTGTGGTGCCCTGCCCTGAACCCAGAGGGTTTGAGGCAAAAAGGGTTTAGGGGTTTAGGATTTCGGGCCCCCATTCTCGGGCCCTAAACTCCTAAACTGTAAGCCCCACATCCAAAAACCTAAGCCTAAGCCTCTTACACATCCCGGAAGCACAAGCCCGAACCCCGGAACCGTAAGTTCAAAGGGGAACCCTTAATGGGGACCCCTACCCTATAATGGGGCTATATAACGGGTATATAATAGCGATATGAAGGGTATATACCTAGGGGTCCTTATTAAGGGTCCTCCTTTTACCCTCGGATAAGTGTTTTTGGTCGCCTTCCCTCGCCGAGGTGTTGCGGAAAGAGTCCGGCGTCCAGCCTTCCCGGAGAAAAGCGAGCGCCGGGTTCCACCACTTTAGGGTTCCTTTAAGGGCTTAGGGTGTAGGGTTTTTTGCACCGTTTCAGAATTTTTATCGTCGGATCTTTGAAGCTTTCCACTTAAGCCCTAAGCCATAGCAAGCTCGGAGCACAGGGTACACGAAGGAGGCCGAAGCTCCCACTTTGCCATGCCCGAGAGTGATACTTGATGTAGGTTTAGGGTTTGGGGTTGAGGGTTTAGGGAGAGAGAGAGAGAGAGAGAGAGAGGGAGAGGGGCTTGGGATTGTAGGGTTCCTACAGCGGTTTCTGTATAAGCTTCGCATTTAGTGACTACAAGGGTTACTGTAGGGGTCCTATAACATAGATGCTGAATGATCAGTAATTCGACGCCCTAGGATCCTTATTATACTTGCAGTAGCACATACCCACAAACCCTATTCTCCCAAAGCCTGGTTCTACGCCTTAAAGGCAGCGTTTTAGCTATGACATTTGATTCCTGTAGCTTGTGCATGGTGAAAAGCCGTTGACCTGGAAGCACACGTTATTGCATTAAGAAAAGGCAGCTTTCTTTTAGGGTCCAAGCCGTGATCCAGACAAAGCCTCAAGCCTGAGCCACATGCCAAACTCATCTACTTGCGCTTGAATTGAGCGTCTGCCAGTTCTTTGCCGGAGGGTGCCGAGTTTGAGTTGCACGGGCTTCGCAACGGCTTAAGCCCAATCACTTCAAGATCTCCTGCTGAATGAAACTTTGGTTCTGGTTTAGGGGTCAGGGTATGTGGAGTCAGTTGATGGTGCATCCTGGTTTAGGAAAGGGTGTTCAAACTATGCCAGTTCTTTGGCACGCCGGGAAACGAAACTCTCGCAAGCACAGTTGAAGAGAATCCTGCGACCACATCCCCTGGAGTTTCCTGCCTGTAGCACAAGAGCGTTTCGGGTTGGGGCTTATGGTTTGGACTCAGGTTGCAGGGCCTCAGGCGTAACGTGAACAAGCCATCAAAAAGATTTCCTGAAGCCGCTGCGAAGTAATGTGGTGAAAAGAAAGCGAGAGCAAAACTGCAACACCCTAGAAAAAAAAACTGTGAACACAGTAAGCTGCCAAAATCGCCAACCCTCAACTCAGAACCCGAATGCGCAAACCTGTAAAACACCAAACCCTAGCACCCCAAATACTGAAACGGGCCGTCCTAAGGCTACAAAGCGAAGGCACACCGCAGCAGCTTGCCTTCCGAATCGTCTCGACCTCGTCGGGGTGCGGCGGCGTGTTAATCGAGATTCAACTAGGTAGGGCTTTGGGACATTTTATATTTTCCCTTATTGGGCTTAAGAGGATCTTATTTACTAATATTTTTCAAAGGCTCCAAAAGCCCCACCTAGTCAAGGTTCTAAAACATGTATAGGTGCACTTGTACACAGATGACACACACACTTTCACGCATGTATATAGAAGTATGTACAACATGCATGCATATATGGGTATGTAGGCTTATGCATACATATACATATACATATACATTTGCCTCTATATATGCATATACACATACGTTTTACATACAAATATACATTCGTATATACATGTACATGTACGTATATGTATACATATACATATACCGACACAGACCATACAAGGTACTCTACCGGTAATCGGTAACTAACGGTTTCTACAACGATGGTTATCAGGAAACTGCTCGGGTTTATACTGTCAATGAACAAGAAACATCAACCAACAGACTGAAGCAATGATCATGGCACTCGCACACCCTTCTTTTGTGGAGCGCCGACATGCTACGTCTTGAAGGCAGGCCCCAGCAACCGATTCCTAACCTGATGCAGGGCGCATGCTGTTAGAGCTTCAGTAGGCTCCCTTTGTATAGAACCGAGCTAGATGGGTAGTTGTCAAAATTATGGCTTTTTTTGGGCACCCTAAATATCAGGTGCCGTCTTATAATAAGGACCCGAAAAGACACCATACTTTTGACCACCACCCACATATCATGTAACAAGTGGGAGATAAGGTACGACCATGCCTCGACCGACATAAAGCCTAAAACACTAGACCAGAACCCCTCTTAGCTTTGGTTAGTAGGGAGTGGCAGAATGATGTTAGGAGTTATAATTGGACCCCAGTCCTCCAGTCCCTACTAACCCAAGGTAAGCCCTAAAGCAAACAAACACTAAAAACTCAAGCCTTATAGCCCTATGCGCCAGACAGAAACTCCGTCACAAGGTCCGCCGCTTGGCTGGCCTGCCCCCCGCCAACGATTCTGCACTCGGTAAGACGCCGAAGGCCGCAGTACGTTGCAGGAGGATTGAGGGTTTAGGGGTGACAGAGAGGGGCACCTACTTAGCCCCAGGGCTTCTATGAATGAGAGGCCCTACTTGTAGGATTTTGAGGTTGCGAGGTATCGGCAACGCCCGCATCCTCACATAGACAGCAACGGAAGGGTCCTCTTTTAGGTGTTTCCCCCGAGAGCCGGGGCAAGACAAGCTAGAAATACTCTTCCTTAACCCTTCAGGTTAAGGGATCCGAGTGGTTATTTGTATATAGGTGGGTGTCACAGTTCTGGTCCTTATAGTATTATAGTACGACACCGAATATCTAGGGTACCCAAGAAGGGGCCACAATGTTGACAACTACCCGCTGGGTTCTTACCGATTGATCTTCATTTGGTTCTTCATATATAGCGCACACAGCTGTGGCTTCTGGGCCTGACTCTAGCAATGAACTTCTGGAAGGTGAAATGCAGGACTACTACAAGGTTCCTTTCGGAGACCTCTTTGAGGGCTCCTCGCCTCCTAAGGGACTTTACAAGGTTCCTTTAAGAGATTTGTATAGGGAATACTTTCAGGGTTGCTATGGGGTTTGTTGTTCGGGGCCGTCGAAAGTAATGCCGAACCGTGTAGTGTTGGGTATGCAAATACTATACTAGATATTAAAACTGCGTCAAGGAGCTTATAAGAAGGAACCTGGAGGAAAGTAGAGGCCTCTGGAATTGGAACTCGAACAATGCTTTGTTGCCAGAGGTATACACTATACCGTGCCTCTAAAGCGGGGTGTTCTGGGGGTGACAGCACTAAGAATAACCAGCGGATATTTCGCGATAGCAACAAACCCAAAACCGCTGATGTGTAATGCCCCCCCATGAACAGCGGGGTCTCTGTTAACATTAGGGTCGGTATCTACACCAAAACCCAATATGGTCCAGGTATGTCTTGAGGGTTTCGGGTTTCAGGTTTGGGGTTTCAGGTTTTGAGGGTTTGGGGCTCAGGGTTTAGGGTGGGTAAACCCTTTTTCCCTAAGGCCCACACGGGGAAACCTACACCCTAAACCCCAAAGCCTAAACTCTAAACCCTAAAACCTAAAAGCCTAAACCCTAAAACCGCAAACCCTAAATCCTAAACTCTTAAACAAAACCCTCAACTCTTTAAAAGCAACCCTAAACTCTTGAAGAAAACCTTAAACTCTTAAAAACACCTTAAACTCTTTAAAAAAAGACCTTAAAGCCTAAAGCCGGTTCCCTGCCCCAGGCGCCCGTCCGAAAGGCAGCCGCGAAGCCGAAGCTTCGTGCAGGGACCGGGGGGAGGGCCTCCGGCAGGGTGTTCGGAGGGGGGGGGGGGGGGGGGTTCGGAGATTTTAGGGTGTCCCGAAATCTTAAAAGGTTTAGGGGGGGTTGAGGGTTTCCCTAAAAACCTAAGGGGTTTAGGGAAACCCTAAACCTTAAATCGGGTTTTAGGGTCTCCTTAAACCCTAAGCCCGTGTAGGGTCTATAGGCTGTAGCTTCGGGGTTTAGGGTTGAGGGTTGAGGCCTAGGAGACAAAAAGGGTTCAGGGTTTAGGAGAGCTCTGGGACCCCTCAGCCCTGTCTAATCTAGGGCTCAGGCTTGAGGCGAACCCAGAGTATCCCTTAAGTAAGGAATATACCTTAAAGCATATTCGGGATCCTACTATAAATTAGGGTATATTCCTTAATTAAGGGATATTGGAGTCTCTGGGAACCCTGAGCCCTAGACCCCTTCCTGAACTAAAGAGCCCTCCTCGGAGATGAAGTTCTAGGCTCAGAAGGGTTTGGGCTGAAGTCTTCGCCTGCTTGCATTTACTGGTTTAGGGTTTACGGTTTAGGGTTCAGGTTCTTTTTTGGAGCTGCCGTTGTTACTTTGTCAGGCGAGTTTCTTGAATTTTCAGCGGCAAAAAGATGGATCTGCGAAAGGCGACGAGGACAGAGACCAACCGGAGCACATCCACATAGGGGAGTTTCCGAAAATGGGGACGCTAATATAGTACCCTAAATAGTAGGATCCTTATTATAAGGACCCCAAAATAAGGTACCTCTATGTCTCGGAAACTCCCGTATGACTTTGCAGGCTACGAGCCTCGATCCAAGTCTCCCAAAGAAGGCGCTCGCACTGCCTCGGTGCATTCTGCCTGGCCCAATGCGGACCCCTCGCCCCCTAGTGTCGCTGGCTAGAACTGCCCGGGTATGGGGTTTAGGGCTATTAGGGTTTCAGGATTTGTCTTTAGGCCTGTGGTGATGTTGTTCTGTCGAATAACGACATGACGACGGCGGCATGATCGACTCGAGTCCGCGTGACAGAGAGAGAGGGTTTCAGGATTTTAGGAATCCAGGGTTTAGGGTTTCAGTATTGGAGGTTTGGAGGTTTAGGGTTCCAGGTTTAGTGTTGAGGTCAAGATGATTGTGGGTCGTAGACTGGCTAGACTTGAGTCCACTGGCAAAAAGGGTTGAGGCCCGGCCAGTGAGACCTGCAGATCTACTGGCCCGGCGTGCGCGACAGCGGGGCAATAGTTATTTGGTGTCGGAACAGTGAGGAGCATCATCCGCTCGGGTGCGGTAATTTTTCGGAAAATATACATTGAAAATCACCGAAAGATTATAACCCTGGACCGTGAGCCCTGAAACTCAGGCCTAGGTGACGTTGATGCGAAGTTTTATGGATACATCTTGAATTACGGTTTCGTCAGTTTTACCGGAACAGCCCTCCCAGAATCCTTTACCCTACCCTTCAACTCACTAAACCCTTAAAGCTGGAGGGAGGCAAAAGCCCACAACGCTGAAACCATGTCTACGCAGTTGATCGTTCCACTCATCAGACCTCGAACCCGGTGAACTCCAAACCCTAGACATTCAACCCTGAATCCTGAACAACGAGCCCGCGTGCATCGAAACCCAAAGCCCTAAACTCTCCTTGGAATCCCGAGGCCATAAACTAGAATCTTAAGTAGGGTAACTATAGACATAGCCGATATCAGGTGACTGGTAACCACCTATAACAACTAGGACCCAGAGTAGGCCCTTATTCCCTTTTTTAGGGTTCAGGTTCCCTTATAAGCCCCTTTAAACCAAAAAGGGCATCCTTTTTATGCCTGGGGTACTCTTGGGTCTAGACAAGCAGTACCCTAGCCCCCCCTCTGCGCGTGACGCGGAGGAAGCTCGGAGGGGCCTCGCGGCTGCGGCAGAAAACTCCTCGGCCGGACGCCCTGGAACATACTAATAAGAATAGTATAGAAGCCTACATAATTACCGATATTATTCTTTAGGGTTCCTTATTATAACTATACTATAAAGAAACCCCAAAGCCCTATTCTAGATATTACAATGATCAGTAAGCAGAGTATCGAGAGCATGCCAGTTAATTACTATACTAACCGGAATAAGCCCAGCACTAAGATCAACCCGAGGAATAATGAGAAGGATCATAGCATTGATAGCAGCAAGAACATATGTCAGATAATGTCACTGAGACTAACCATATCAAATATCTTAGCAAGAGTTGCCATGACATGATCATTGATCGGTAATCCTAGCAATACTAGTAACACTAGGAACAAGCTCGGGGCAATGGGAAGTCTGGAAATTTTGAAACTGGCAACAATGAGCCCTGGGCCGATCCTTCGAGGTAGGGATCGTTTTGAAACCAAGCCGGGTTTCTCCCCAGAGACACCAAAACCCCTGAATTCAGGAATATGCCATGAATTATAGGAGGATCCCTAATATGATTTAAGGTATATTCCCGAATTAAGGGGCATTGGAGGCCCTGGGTCAAGCCCGAAAGCCCTAAACTCATTGTACCCGAACACAGAGACCTCGTCTGCCGAGTCCGAGTTGCGAGAGCATACGCTAAAGAGTCTCCCCTCCAGGAAAGACATTAACTCCGCAACCCTAAGAAGGCTTTTGCCGGGTTGCATGGAGGGGTTGGTGGTGTGGCGTGCAGGGTTTTGGGGGTTGCGGGTGTATCTTGAAAGCTCTCCAGGTCCCTTAGTATTCGGGTCTAGGTTCTATCCCTTTCACTGTATAGGCACTTTCTGAGACTGAGTTACGGCTTCGGAACATTTCAGCTTGAGCTTGCAGGGTCTTAAGGTTTAAGACTTGTCCAGGCTTCTGGCTGCTGTTAGGGGCAGAGGGTGTTTGGTTAAGGCGTGTCTTCAGGGTCTACAGAAGCGACCTCATGGGCAGCAGTTTCTTTTTGCATGGTTTTGCCTACCTGCTGGGTTTCAGGGCTTCTCATATCGACACCAGTTTTGGGTTATAGCTAGGAAGGCGACAGATGCGAGCAGGTATAGCCTCGGTTCAAGCACTTGCGCAACCTTGTTTATACTTGCCAGCGAAATCGTGTGCAGAGCCCGTTCTCATGGCAGAGCATGCGTAGAAGAGCTTCAGGCAAGTCTTTGTTTACGGCACGCGGTTGTAAAATTGCCAAGTTGCGACCACCCTGCAATAGCGACGAATTCTGCAAATTCATAAACCTTCAGTGGTAAAGTCCATGGGCCGAAAGCAGTTTGGTGTCATGCGAGGAGCTTGGCTGATGATCCGTGGTCGTGTGCATCCGGTCCCCATCCCTCAACCTGAAGGCGTCCTCACCCGCGTCACTGCCAGCAGTCCCGGCACGACCTCGTCAATGGATCGCTCCGGTACATCTGAAACGGTTCCGCTGCAACATCTCCACACTCCTCAAAAGCGACCGAAGGTTTCACAAACGGCACATGCGCGCAGGATGCAGTCGTCTTGTAGGCATGTAGGAATGCATGCAATGTAATGTACAGGAAATGCAATGCAAGGCAGGGAATGGAATGCAGAGTATTGTACTGTAGTGCAATGCAGTGAAACGGGGTGTCGTGTCAAGTCAGGCCAAGTCATACCATGTCGTATCATGTCATGCCATGTAGTTCGTTTTAATGTAGTGTCGCATACTGTATTGTGGAGGCACGTGTCTATCAACACATAATTATGCATGCACACGCACATGCACATCACGTGCATGTAATCGTCCTGCACTGTAGATGTGTGTGTGTGTGTGTGTGGTACGATTGAGTTGGGTGTGCGTGCGGGTATATATGTACATTTTTTCATTTTATGCTTTTGTGTCTGTACTTCTATACACATGCAAAACCATATATACATGATGGATGCGTGCATATGTACACGGACATAAGTGCATGCATGCCTGCCTGCCTACCCACCTACCTACATTCGTAATTGCATAAAGAGACGCAAATATGTATGCATGATTATGCATGCATGTACGTATGTATGGGAGTTTCCGGCAATAGGGGACCCTAATGTTGTGCCGTAAATAGTAGGGTCCTTATTATAAGGACCCCCAAATAAGGTACCCCTAATTTTCGGAAACTCCCGTATGTATGTACGTACAAATAACAAACCACGGCCGAGTCGGGCTGCTGGGCGCGGCGGCAAAGCTGGACGAGGTTCTCATCACCTGGACGGGGAGTTCTTCGGGGTTCAGGGTTTGCCGTTTGGGGGTCAAAGGAGGGTTTATGGATGGTTTTGGATTAGGGGGTTTAGGAGTTTAGAGGTTTAAGCCGTGTCCTGTGGGAAGGAAGCTGGCGGGGCCTGACAGCGACTGAGTGCCCTGGAGACAGAGAGAGAGAGAGAGGTTTAAGCCTTGGCATCTGATACTGTGCTCCCGGAGGGGTTTTGCGCGGTGGCGGCATTTCGGCTTCTGCAGTGCTAGTCGTTCTGTTTGAGATCTGAGGGTTCGGATTTCCAGGTTAGATTCCAGGCATTTAACCAGTGATGAAGGGAGGAGATTTTTCCAAGGCAGCCCATGATAACTTCACAGTTTCTGGGTTGGGGGGGTTGGTGTTTCACAAAATCCTAAAATCCTGCATTACCCACGATAAGGACTATACTTCCATAATTCTCGTGGCTTAGGGTCCTTGAGATATTGCAGGACTTATAGAGCATCAGCCGTAGAATTCCTAGAGAGCTCAGGGTTTGGCATTCAGAAAATTGGGGTTTCATTCGCGAAGTCCCGATGCTGGTCCCCTAAACCCCACGGCACGAACCCCCAAGCATCGTCACCCTAAGCCCTAAACTGAGTCCGAGTGTGAGAGCCTCACCCCTAAACCCTAAATCCTACACCCTAAACCCCGAAGCCCTGAACCCCAAACCCCTAAACCGCCCTAAACACTGAACGACGGTTTCGGGAGGTCGCCGGGTCGCGGCACCGAAGCTGCGGGCGCGCGCGGCTGCACTTTTCCTTTTGGTGCTTGCTGTTGTGTTTTAAGGGGCTTAGGGGGTTTAGGGGCTTTGGGTTTAGGGCTTAGGGGCTTTGAGTTTAGGGTTTAAGCTTTGGGTTTAGGGTTTAGGGGGCTTACCCGTTTGCCTTCAGAGGTTTAGGGTTTATGACACATATGATTTTTGCGCGTTTCCGGGGGGGGGGGTCGAGCCATAGACGCTCTACAGCCCGTTCGATCTCCAATTCGGTCTCAGCCAAGATTTGCATGCGACATCATGTGCAGTGCCTTGCATGGTGTTTCCTCCGAATCCTGCCAACAGCTACACAGAAGCAAGAGGTTAGATACCTTGAGTCAATGTGTCTGTCGTTTGACATGGTGGGCTATGCCCCAATCACCTCATGTGGCAAAGCAGAGTTGAATTTGGGTTGGTGGTCTGTTCTGCCGTGCTATACTGTTCTGTGTTTCCGTTCGTGTCATGCCTCTGCCTCTGCACTGCCCGCATTGTCATGTAGCGGAAATACAATGGACTAAGTGGAGCCTTGCCTGCCTTGTGCGAGTGTGAGCACCGAAAACCTGAAACCCAGACGAAAGTCTCAGAGCTCAAGGTCTGATTTCAGGTCCACGGTTTAGAATTCCCAAAGCTCTGAACTGTAGGACCCTGCACCCCTTCATCCTTAAAGGCTGAAGGCCCAGGACAAGCCTGAACCCCAAGCTCTAAATCTTCAGCCTAAGCCCTATACACGTATAGCACCTTTGGAGACCCCTTTACAGGAGCCCTCTACAGGAAGACTTTAAGAAGGAGCCCTCGAAAGGAACCGTTTAAGGGCTCCTAGAAGGTTCTTGAAAGGAAGTTCTACGCCCTAAAATCCTTCGCGAGATGCCGAAGCCCGATCTCGGGCCAAGCAAAGCAAAGCTGTCGGGGCTCCCGGCTTTTGGGGCTTCTCGGGGGGGGGGGGGGGTTAAGGGTTTAGCGGTTTAAAGTGTGGGGGTCTAAGGTTTGGGAGTTGAGGGGTTCATGTTTGGTGATGTGGCGGGTTTCGTGACGTTTCAGATCGGTACTTATTACATAAGTCAGTAGCCCGGAAAGAGGGAGCCCAAGCTTTCCACCTTAACCGACAGGCCCACCACCTCCCCTCCATTCAGATAAGCTGCTTTTCCTGCGCCCTTGACTTAGCACTGACCGGCCCGAAACCCAACGCCGAAGCCGTGGCCGAGCCTAAGCTCTACCTGGACCCTAAGGAACCTACCTTCCCTAATATGATTTCTTTATATAAGTCCCTTAAAAGGTAGGTTATTTTGGGGTCAAGGTAGACCTTGAGACCTAAACCTAAATCCAAGCCGGAGCCCTGAGCCCCAAGAGCACAACCCGGCGTGGCTACTTCCCTCGGAAGTACTTGGGAGCTTCAGAGTTTCTGGGAGACCCCGAGTTAGTCAACAGTTAGTTAGTACAAAAGTTGTACCTGTTATAATTCATGGTTACTATTGTTATTATTAGTAATAATAAATCATGGTTACTATTGTTATCATATACCCCACCCCTTTTTGGGGGTATCTGTACATCTTTCTAGACAACAAATCCTGCCTAAACCCTAAATCTCTGGGTACACCCGAGGCGCGCCTTTCTCGTCAATTTCCTGTCGGACGCAGATGTGGAAAACACTACCATCGGGCAGTTGAAGGAGGACGGAACGGCTGTGTAGGTGTCGGGATTTAGGGTCTTAGGCCATATAAGTGGTGCAGGGTTTGTGACAGAGGCTCCTCCCCTCAGGGGTGAGTGAATGGCTCCGTCGGGTGCCAAGCTGCAGCAGTCTTGCTACTATAGGGCCTGAGTGCTTGCCATTACAATTTCTTCTGCTTTTTTCGGTGTACCTAGACTACTATAATAAGCCACCAAAACTTCGAATTATGATGCGGCCTTGTATGAATGCATGGCAGTTGAGAACAGATGGCCCACCTATGGGTCGAGCAGCTTTTCTTGGTGTATATAGTTCGGCGATACCCCAAGGACCATAGCCCCACCACTCATGCGCACGCTAAGCCCGAAACCAGAAGCCGTGCCTGCGTCGAGCGAGTGTGCGAGTCGAAACCGTGAGACCTCAACCCTCAACCTCGGAAGCAAAAGCCCTAAACCTAAGCCCTAAACTCCAAGCCCTAAATGAAGCCCTGAGGCCCAAAACCCTAAACTCAAGAAGACCTAAACTTTCTTGGCACCCGCTGTTTTCGGATTAGGGTCAGCCCTGGCAGCAGCCTCTTGCGTCCTCGGGGCAGGGTTGTGAACCGCCCTCAACCCTACCTGTAACCGAAAAGACTTACCTTTTTAAGGAACTCTCTCTCTCTCTCTCTCTCTGTATATATAAATAAATATAGAAATGAAGGTCTTTTCGCCTACAGGTAAGCCTAATTAAGCCCTGAACCAAAAACCGAGACAGCCGTTTCACCTCCGACCGACCAAGTGACAGAGCACCAACCGACCCTTACGCGCCCGCTCCTTCCGTCCTACGCAGGCTGCGAAGGAGGAGTTTGACCTGATGACCGACGAGGTCGGAGTGCCGGGATGTGTTCCAGGGTGGCCACCAAGTCGGCTCGAAAGCCTCTTGGGGTAAAGCTCCCACGGAGTTAGGGGTCTTGGCCATAACGTCCCATAAATGCTCAATGAATGCGTGCCGGAGTCTACGACATCAGAGTTCCAGAGACGGTTCAGGGACCCTTTTTCAACAAGGGTGCTGGACCAGCTAGGTTCCCCTGGCAGCATTCAACACTCTGTATCAACCCGGATTATTGGTAGAACCACCGACCAAGATGCCTAAGCTCCGAGCAGGAAGCCCTGAAATCGCCGAGCGTGAAGGGTAGTATTTCTCAGGTTTCTTTGAACAAACAATGCTATGATATGCTGTATGAGCCAGGCGATCAGAAATCTCCGGGAGCTGGCTGCTGTGGAGATGTGCTTTGGCTGAGTTTCTCGAGACTTTTATAGGGTTGTAAATGTTGTAAACGGGCTCTATAAAGGTGTGTATGGGGTGAGGGTTCCACAAGGGTTCTACAATCGAAAAAGGGGTTCTGTAAGTCAGCTTTTTGCAGTCTTGGGGCTCATGGGTTTGGGTTTGAGGTCTTGCCTGGCATGAGGGTGTAGATTTCTGGCAGGGCTTTCAAGGATTGTATATGACAAGGACTAGTATGAAATCAATGCAAGCAGTGAGCGCCTGGAGCCCTCAACCCTAAACCATGGCTCGCCGTCTGCATGCTACAATTGTGAGGGTTTAGGGTTTAGGGCTTAGGTTTGGGGTTTAGGGTTGCTCTTGGGGCTTTCGGGTATGAGCAGGATATCAATATTCTGGGAGAGGATGGCGAAGCACTGCAAGTATGATCCCTTCTCTGCATGGCAACCCAGACCCTAGTTCGTCCGTGAGGAAGCCCGTGAAACCCGTGTGAAACTACCCGCGACACTTCCACTGCACGATGCACACAACAATCCCATACACATCCTCAAGCTGCCAACCCATTCTCGTGCCTCTCGTGCCCATGCATATCAAAGGGAACTGTCTTTCAGTTATACGGCCGGTTGTTTTCGCGGGATGGCTTATTGCTTAGTTACTTGTTCCTGTGCATTCTCTGTCTGAGCCTTTTTTCGCAGCGGGCTGCTAAAGTGAATCGTGTTTGGCACCGCGCATGGATTCCTCGTTAGGTCACAGAATGCCTGCAGACCTCGCCTAGTACTCCTTAGTCTGAGCGTCAGAAACCTGAAGAATCCCTAGCCTCAAAGCGCCCATGCCCCTGTTCCCCCTCCCATCCTTCAGGCGGAAGCAACTTACGGCCAGGCGACGGAAGAAGCCGAGGACGTGATTCAGTAAGCCAAGGTTGTTGTTTGTTGCTGCATTCGTGGTTTGCCAGTAGCGCGGATACTTTTGCTGAGGTCGCCGAAGCTTGGGCAGCACACCCCTCAACCTAAAGCTTAAAGTTCAAGCCCTAAACCCCAAATCCTACAGGCCCTTAGCCGAAGCCTGAAACACGGAGTTCCGAGCCCCAGACCGTGCAGTTTCAAGGTTGTGCAGTTTCCTCAGACTCCTTCAGGCTTCTCATGCCCGGCCGGGGAAGCCATGAACACTGCCGTCCCTTTTTTGATGGGTCCCAAATCTAGGGTCCATTGACCTCCAAGCCTTACAATCCCTACAGCCCATCAGTCGGAACTGTGGTCGGAGCACTGACGGCCCGCTTAGAGCATTGAGACTCATGACCTTTCAGATGCTTTCGGCTTCATTGTTCAGTCGAGGGTTTAGGGTTTAGGGTTGATAGCAAGCCAGTTGCAAAAGGGTTGACGGTATGCTACATGGGAGGTTCCATTTTTTGGCTGAGCCCTACTGTGATGGCGCGTTCTTAGTCACTAGCAGGCGGTCGAAGGGGAGCCCGTGGCGTCTGTTGAGTTCTGATTAGAGGTCCTTGTCGTAGGGTTTAGGGTTCAGAGTGGTTCAGAGTTTAGGGGGCTAGCGCCGCTCGGTTTTCAAGGATTCGATTGAGGCTTCATCGCGGAGGGTTCAGGGTCAGAGTTCGGGGCCTCAGACGCTACTGGGGGCGCTGTACTTGGAGGTTCATGGGTAGTTATAAGTAGGGTTCTAAATAGGGTAACTGTACTTATAACCCATATGGGGGGGACTTATAACCCCACTTAGAACTACCCATGAACCTCGAAGCAGGCCCTAAACCCTATACCCTTATAGTATCCCTACAGATCCCTTTAAAGGGACCCGTAAAGGAAGCCTTATAACTACCCAAGAATCTCAGCTGTAGGCACTTCTGCTCAAGCACAGAAGTCAGAGCCCTGCCCAAAGCGCTTGGGACTGGCCTCTCAGGCGCGATCTGGGGGTTCAGGCAGGGTTTACCTTAACCCTGAAAAACATACCTTTTCAGGGTTCCCTGCTATGACTTCCGTATATGAATCCTTAAAAAGGTAGGTTATTCCGGGTTAACGTAGGGTTTAGGGTTTAGGGTGTCGGGTTTCGAGTGCCTGTGAGAGAGAGAGAGAGAGAGAGAGAGAGAGAGAGAGAGACAGAGAGAGAGAGAGAGAGAGAGAGGGAGGGTGTAGGGTTTAGGGTTTCGGGCTCAGGGTGTCAGGATTCCACTCCAAGTCCGTGCTTAAAAAAGGGTGTCAGGATTCTGAAGTAACCGAGCGACCTTGTCATCTAAGAGTGCCGCACTCTTTTGCGGGGAAGCACGAAGAGATTGTAACTCCGTGAATCCTAGAAGCCAAACGAGAGAAAACATTGAACCCTAAACCCTGTGAGCCCGTGATGGCTCCAAAACCTCCGAAAAAGCTGGGTCATCAAGTCACCCAGTATGTTCGGAGCACATTAATTGGCAATGAAATCATCGGCGGCTTTCAGCTGTCCAACCAATGTACCCTGCAATGCGGGCTTCGTTCATGCTAGGTAGGAGGGGACAACCGCCAATCCCAGAACAACCCTACTTGTAGAAGATTCAATGCTAAACACCAAGAAAAAACCTAGAACCCTAAACCCTGAAAGTAGCAAAAGGAGGCCGAGCGTGTCTCGCCCTGTAGGCGTAAGTTCAAAGGGCCCCAAGGGTGGGATGAAGTTAGCTGGGGTAATCCCAAGATATACAACGGATCCGTAATCCTATCTACCTTCATCCCATGGTGTGAGGGCTCGGGTATGTGCTGCATGGCTCAACTTGGCAGTCAGGGCAGAGGTCGATTCCTCAAAGCCTAAATCGTCTGGGAGAAGGGTTCAAACGATTTGCGAGATCTATAGAAGGTACATGAATAGTGCTGAGAATTTTGGCCGATACCACCAAATGCAGTGGCTCAATGATGGGCCTTTAGTGTTTTCAAGCAACAGACGAAGTCATCCAGCAGCCCAGCCCCAAACCATATGAGCAGCCGGAGCCTTACATGGAGCAGTATCGTTGTCAATGTGTTTTTGTTTTGTGGGCTCAGGTTCAGGACTTGAAATGCTAAGGGGTTCTACATGTATATACAGGTAAACACATGTAAATATTCAGTATGAATATATATACACACTTATATATGTACATATGTTTTATACTTATATTTATATATACATGTATAGTTACAGATTTGTGATTAATTTAATATAATGTAATGTAGTGTCATGCAATGCAGCTGTATGCGATGCGATACAGTGTCATTTTATGTTGTGTTATGTTTATGATGTTACGCATGTTATGTATGTTATGTATGTATGTATGTATGTATGTATGTATGTACGTATGTATGTATGTATGTGTGTATGTGTGTATATATATATATATATGTGTGTGTGTGTGTGTTTGCTAAAATCAAGAATAGCTGGGCCTGAATATCTTGAGTACCGAGAAACATGAGCCCTAAACCCTCAACCCCCTGGTCGCTCGCGAAAGGGGCGGTGATGCTCCGGTTTCGGGCTCGGGCTCCTGAGTTTGGGATAGTTGCTTCGAGCCTTGGGGATGCCGGTTTAGGGGCTTGCTTTCGGCAAGCGCGTCTTTTCTTCTCATGCTTCCTCATCGATCCTGCCATGAACCCTGCGCATCAAACCGCAGGCAGGCATGTCCACGATCTCCCCGCGCCATTTCGACGATGAGGTCGACGATGTGACCGCGGCTGGCCCAGTTCCGGCGTCAGGTGATCAAAGGTGTGGTCGAATTATCGCTGCAACTTTCAGCCCTACTCCAGTTAGAAGAGGACTTGGGGTGTAAGGTTTATAGGGACCAGGACTTAGGGTTTGGGGCTTCAGGTTTGGGGTTTCTAGGGCTCAGGGTTTCGGGCTTACAGGTCTTCTTAGGGATTCGGGTTTAGGGCGTAAGCACCTGGCCCCAAACCCCAAAGCCATGAGCCCGGGAAGTGCTGAAGCACGAAGCCCAGGTCCCAAAAACCGAAACGCCGACCAGCCGTCGCCTTTGACTTCGTGCGGACGAAAAGATCCCTTAAACCACGCAAATAAACCGTAATTAGTCCCTACATCCCCCCTGAAACCCACAGAACGTACACTAAAGCCTCGAAGCCCTCTTCAACCCCTGATCGTCAAGACCCTAAGCCCTGCCTTAACCCTTCAAAACCTCCAGTTTTTTGAGCATTTCTATAAGGAAGTCATAAGCAGGAACCCATAAACGGTAGGTGCTTCAGGGTTCAGGTGGGAGCATGTCTTCTGACACCGAGGTGGGTTTGCAAGTGCAGCAGTTCCTGGATGAGTGGCACTTCCGAGTTCTGCACAGCGGACTCGCGTCTCGCCTACCTTCTGGAACTTTTGGGGTTTTGAGCTTGGGCGTGCAGGGGCTTTAGGGTTTGAGAGTGCGGTGTTCCGGGGAAATTTTTGAGCTTCGGGGATAACTCAGTTTCGAGACGAGCTTCTCGGAACTGGTCGGTTTCCACAAAACGGCTCGTCCACGGTCCTCGCAGAGTGTCCCGTTTTCAGGGCCTGCGTCGGTCTGCAGCTTCTTCGCTACATAGGTCTAAAAGCTTCTTGGGTGGTGTTGAGGCTTTCGAAACAGATGCAAACCCCAAAACATCGAAAGCCTCGCGCGCCAAAAGCATGCAGACAATAGAAGCCCGGAACTTGAATCACGAAGTCCAAAGCCCTTGCCCTTCTTTTAACCCAGAAGAATAAGTGATACTACTTCTCATGTGTATAGCACAACAGGTGAACGTTGCTTTTCTCCATGTAGCCTCTGCATATTTCTAATTTACTCCAGGGCTCCCCGGAACATATTTGGAGGTGGTATTGGCGGAAAAGACGATCTTACGGTTCGTTATCCTGAGGTCCTAGACTGTACAAACGAAAAAACTCAAAAGCACCTGCACTCCTGAAGCCTTAGGCCCCAAACCCTCACCCCTACAGCCTCAAACTCGAAATCCGAAGAGATCTGAAGCCACAAACCCCTAAATCCGAAGAGATGCTTGAGAGAGGCTTATGCGTGGGATCGACCGGAAGCCTTGATCAAGGCCTTGTGGGACAGTCAGATACTATAGGAACTTGGAACCTTAATAGTTACCTATACTATTTTGGGGCTTCCCCGAAACCCTACTCTAACTATTCAGGCCCTATATTAGGGGTTCTATGCGAGGGTCTATGTGGTTTTTACTAAGCTTTGGGTGTGGTTCAAGTCTGAAGGGTTTGGGAAATCGGGTTTGGGGTTCAGCGTTGTGGGGAAAAGGCGAGAGGTGAGGGTTAGGGGTTTCAAGGGGAAACTGAACCAGGTTTGCGAACATGGTATGCTGCTACAGGGTCTGGATAACGGTATATGTTGAACCGGCCTCAGAGGTCCCGCACAAAACCTCGTTTCAAATACTTAGTTGGCAGTTTCCGAAAATAGGGGATCCTGATATAGTACCCCGAACAGTAGGATCCTTATTACAAGGACCCCAGAACAAGGTACCCCTAGTTTTCGGAAGCTCCCAGTTGAGCCTGCAAAATGTCCTGAGAGGCCATGGACATCTTTGAGGCCAGTGGCATGCACATCACCCAGGACGCTTGGCCTTCTGGGTTCAGGGATTGCAGTCTTTGGGGTTTTGAGGATCGGCAATCCTCCTCCCTGAACTCTACACCCTAAACCCGCCTTGCCTGCCTTGTGCGAGTGTGAGCGTTGAAACCCAATTAGCTGTTGTTTGTTCATTCACTGTTGGGGTTGGGGCCTGCTGAGAAGCCCCGAATTGGGGAAGCTATCCCGCCTAAATAATGGGAGCTTGCTATGGTATACTTGTTTATCTTTTACAGTAAGAAACCTGTGGAGATTTAGGGCTCCCATGTTTCTATCACAGTCATGGGCATCTTGAACTGAGAAGATGCGAGAAGCTTTTATGCAAAAGTGCACGAACCCCAGACCTCAA